GCCAAAAGTCTCGCTCTAGCTGAAACGCCTCTGCTGCTCCTTCACCCACCTCCGCCCCCACAAAATTCAAAACGGCGAAGGGTGGGGGCGGAGTGCAAATTGCCGCGCGAGCAGTAGCGCCTTCTGCGGTCGCCTTTCGACTCGCTGTTGAGCAAGCCAAGCAATGACTGGCCAAATGGCTGCAGTGTGAGTCACATTCACGATGCGAGTGTGATTCGATAGAGCCGGCAGCTGCGGGTCTGTTCGCTTGTCTGTCCAAGTCACGAGTGCGGCAGGAGCGGGACCCCACTCGTGGCTGTTCACACGCGGGCTCATCTGCTCTGGCACCGTCGCTTGGCCTCGCACGATTTGTGATTTCGCGCAGAGACAGAGCTGCTGGGACATGGTGCTGCTTCTCTTCTGCTTCTGCTTCTGCTTCTGCTTCTGCTTCTGCTGATTGTGCTGTCAGTGGTGTGGTACGCTGTACGGTACCTACACGCTATGCGAACCTTGCAGGTCAGTGCATGCGGAGCAAACCTCGGCGGCCGACTCGACTTGTGAATCATGCGAAGCTTCTTGAGGTGGTGGCCGATGAGTTCTGTGATGAGTCAAGCACGACAGTCGAATCCGGGGTGTGTGAGGTGAAGCACTCACGACTCGCACCTCTTCGAATCCCTATTCCACCTGTCATCGAGTCGCGTGACACTTCCTACAGTGCGATACCCTTCTTCAGCGTAGCGCACCATCTTTTCCCTCGAGCTTTTCCCGCATCGCCACGGCTATGGAGCTCTATGACGATGCGACGCAGGTAGATCGAGAGCGGGAGCGCGAACGTCGTCATTTGGACGGCCACTCGGCGGACGGTTCCACGGAGGGTTGGAGCAGCAGCAACGGTCCGAACGATGGTGTGGCGACGGTCCGCTCCCGCAACTCGCGCCGCCTTTCCGTCAGTTTTGCCCAAGAGGCTCCCTCGATCATGGGCGATTCTAGCAGTGGCAGCGTGGGCAGCTCAAGCAGTCCATCCATCACCCTGCCATCACAAAATCAGAGTCAGGCTCCTCAGAGCGCTCCTCCTCGTTTCGGATCTGCACTTCCTACCAGTCCTCCAGTGTCGCAAATCATGTCTCCAAGCAGCAGCTTTAGAGAGTCTGGCGCCTCTCGCAAAAAATCATCAGCCGCAAGTCTGATCGCCAATAGCGCAATGGGAGCACTGTCTGGCAGACCGGCCAGTTACATCGAGTACGACCCATGGAACAATTTGCATGTCGTCTCTCCGGGCATCGAGGTGGACAATCCGCTATCGAATCGCAGCGACGGCAAAAAGGTTGCTCGCTCTGGCAGCCTCAGACCCTCTAGTCCAGTCACCTCCAAGGCTTTTCCTGGAGCGAAAAGGGCGCCAAGCGCAAACAATGCTGCGATTGTCGGCAAAGCCAGGTCCGGGTCCATTACGGATGGCCCGTCAGCGGTCTTGTCATCTTCCCCTCTGCTCGAGCGGTCTCGCACCGTCTCGGCTGCGACGTCGAGCAGCAGCAGACATCGACCGGCAAGCCTGATTTCCGACTCGGACGTCGCCATTCAACGAGAAATCGACTATGGCAGCAAATCGAGCAGGAGAAAGCAGTCCAAAGGTCAAAGGCGCGAGGCATCTGACGCGAGCTCGGCTTCAGGCGCAGGCGAGGGTCAGGGTCTCGACGAGGAAGAGGAGCTCAAGCTGCCAGACAGACCCACGGCTCCTCTAGATGTGGCCCCTCAGCTCGAGAATCTGGATGACGCGCAGCGGCGGTCATTCTTGGAAGAGTACGGTCTGGCTCTGGAAGCAGCGAAAAAGGCTCAAAAAGAGGGCAAGGGCGTCGGCTTGCTCAGAAAAGCTTTCCGGTCGAGACCCATCAGTCAACGCTCGGGCAGCAGCGATGGAAATCGGCCCGCTTCCGATGTCGAGATGGTGCAGGGAGATGCAGGGTCTGCAAGCAGCAATGAGAGGGGCATCTCTTATGATGAACCCACTCATCGTCAGGTGCTTGACGCTAGCGATGCCTCGCAAGTCGCAGGACCTGGCCATCAGAGCGCAGGCGTGGCAGCGACATGGCCGAACAAGCAGCCAGACTCTGAGTCGAGACATTACAACGACGTTGCTCCCATGCCTGTGCGCTACTCCGAAGAATCGACGGACAGCTCGTTGAGCCACAGGCACACCTCGCTGGACTACACCAGCGGAGAAGGCTCTTCGTCACGAGATGGCAATTCCATCTTTTCTGACAACACCAGCGAATTGCACAGCGTGCAGATGATTGGGAGTAAGCACAGTGACGGCGGCTTCGGGAAAGGTGAACACCGCGCAGTGACAACAGAGAACAAGGCGACACTCCTCTCTCCCGCATCTCCAGATTCACCCAAATCAGGCGTCATCACACCCTTGGCTTCGCTTTCGTCCATGGTGCAGCAATCTCCAAGCAGGCGCGAAGCTCTGCTGCAAGCGCGAGGTGCGACGCCCGCGACCATAGCTTCGCAATACGACGATGATGCAGAAGTGGATGGAGATTCTTGGGCTAGTGAAAGCAGCGGCGTACCTTCACTGCGAGAGTTTGAGCTGCACATCGAGCCTCAACGTACCGACAACGGCTTCGATGGTCATGTCGATTTCCAGGGCGATGCTGCTCATCATCGCGATGGTGACGCAGAGTCTTTGCTCGATCCAGTCTTTGATTCGCACAAGCACACCATCATCAGTCCACAGCAAGTCTCGCTTCTAGACCAGAGCCGTGAACCCTTGCGGGGCGCTCGGAGCGTCGGTGATGCCAGGGGAGTAGTCGCGTTGGAGGATGACGCCAGCGACTGGGCTTCGATAGCGAGCAACGATGACGACGGCAGGCGGGCTGACGACGACGACGACGACGACGACGATGAGGACGATGCGCACACCATTGACCACCACGCTCTGGATCGACATCTTGGATTGTTGACTCAGATGTCAGACAGGTCGCCAAGGGCGAGCCGAGAGGATCAGGACGATGATGACGATGCTCGTAGCGTCGATACCATCGACGACAACGCTCGTACGCCACACCGAACGCCCACACTGTCTCGCACCCCCACCATCACCGCGGAGCCTGCGGCGCCTGCCAACAAGACTAAGAATGCAAATGCAAAACAACGTGGTAGACGCTCCACGGGCGCGTTGCTGGGCAGGAAGCGCAGTGCAGAGCCTGTGTCGGACTTTGTGTCATCCGAGTCGGATGTCGAAGATTTGGAGGAGGAAGTTGCTCCTGCGGGTGATGGTCTTGGCGACGAGTCGCGGCAAGTCCCACCACCCGCGCTACAGGTCAATGTGAACACCTCGGATGATGGCATGCCCTCGATCTCACCTGCAAGCTCAGACGATCTGGACGTCGACTACTTTTTGAGTAGATTTGGAAAGGACATAATCGAGGTCAGAGCAGACGGACTTCCTGAGCTGTCCGGCGACCTGATGCACCTGCCTACGATGGAAGAATGGCGGGATTCCTCGACAGGCCAAATTGATTATGCTGGTCTTGCAATCGCGTACATCACTGCCCTCTGCTCCTTCCTATCTCCACCTAGGATGCTCAGTATTCGGGCACCTCGCTCTGCCAGCGTCGTCAAGCGCACACAGGAGCATTCCACCGTCGCTTCGGCCAATTCGCTCAGAGCCGAGTGTGAGCGCCTCTACACGACCGCGTTGCCCGCGTATCAAGGCATGTTCAACACGCTTCGTTCCTTGTGGAGATGGGACAGCTACATGCGTAGCGGCACTTGTGCAGCAGTCTATATCGTGTGCTGGCAACAGGGAGTGCTTCTTATTGCTAGCCTTGCCACGCTCACCCTCCTCACGCTGAGGCTGCGTGGCCTCTCTCCACCCCATGCATCTACCAGCGTCGAGACTGGAAGACAGACAAAGCTTGTCCAGATTACGCAAGCCGGAGCCGAAGCGGGGTCGCTGGATGACGCTATAGCTTCGAATGCTCAGAACCTGAAAAAAGTCGTGAACGGGCTGTCGGATCTGCACGAACGGCTGGTCAACTTTGCCTATTGGCGTTCTCCAGCCGCAACGCTTCGCACCTTGCTCTTTCTCACTCTTTGCGCTCTGCCCACTCTCCTATTGAGCCCGTCCATTTTGTCCCGTTTGCCCGGTCTCTTGCTGGGATTGGCCTTTTTTGCGCTCGGGCCGATCATCGAACAAAAGCCAGAGTGGATTGATCCTGCCTGGTACAATCCCTTTGCGTTTCTGCTGGCTGGTGTGCCTACGCGCGCACAGCACGCGTGCCAATTGCTTCGAGTCCGAGCTTCCACTCGGGAATGCTGGAGCGCGGAGCGCAGTGCGCTGGCGATGGACGCGGGACAGGCCACGGATGAAAAGCTTCAGCTTCAGTTTCAAGTCCAAGAGCGGCTCATCAAGCAGCAGCTCGATGATCGCTCTCAAACGGCCGCCACCTACTTTCGAGCCACGCACGACGGGATCACGGGTCGCTTGCGCCTCACCTCGACTCGCCTCTCTTTCGTCTACCTGCAAAGCGCAAGCGGTAAACCGCTGTCCGAGTCGAATAGCAAAGCTGCCACACCCATCACCATTCAAGACGTGGACAGCGCACAAGCTCGCACCTCGTTCGACGTGCGACTGGAAAGCTTGGCATGCCTGAGCAAAATCGCCAAGCCGAACGCAGCGGATGGAGGCAGCCTGCTTATTTCTTTGAGGAATCGCAAGGTGAGTAGGCGATCCATTCGGCTTGCTTTTCCCAATTGCGCAAAACTGTCTTTGCCCTGCCTCTTTGCAAACGCGCGAACGAGGGACAAGCTGACCAAGCCAAGCCCCCTGATTTTGCCTGCCTGCCTGCCTGCGCCTCTTGCCGCCGAGCAGCTCACGTATGAGGTGTCGGACATGCCTCATCGAGACGAAGCTTTCAATTGCCTTCTCGCTCTTGCGCCTGTCCCTTGGCGCAGCGTGTAAACGCCCACGCAATCCTCAGCACCCTCAATTGGCGCACAAACACTCTTTTTTCACATACTTTCAAGGCCCATCACGCATCAGCAGTGCACTGACTGTATGCCATCTCTCTGGCCCAGAGCCTCTCGCGCATGTAGCATCGCAACGGATGTACGACGTCCAATCGATTCTCGCATCACGACCACGTGTAGGGTGTTTCAACCATCGTATTTCGCACTGAAAGAGAGCGTGTGGGGGGGCGGGGGAAGAGTCAAAGACGTGTCTGCCGCGCAGGGTATTAATGGTAGCCTGGAAGCAAGCAATCGATGGGGGGGGGG